TGGTGGTGTGAATAGAATCACTATCTCCTCCTTTGCTCGAGGCGTCATTGTGCGACTAGAACTAGAGCTGAAAACTGAGCTGGTGGGTAGAGAGCAGCAGTCAACGGTGTGAGTGCTACTTCTCAATTGGAATGAACCGATGCACGCGGACAGCTGGCTTATAAACGCACTTCAGCGCCTACAAAAAGCGGAAAAAGCACAGAACCAGAGCTTGGAAACACGTGATAAGTTGAGATGATGATAAGTTTTTTGCGAAATTTTGGTGCACGTACTGTGGCGTTTGCTCAACTCTAACTTTCTCAATACCGTGAAATTAATTGGTTGTTCTTTTGTCTATTAGCTGTTGCTGCTGTTGCTGTAGACTCCGAAACAAGCAAACCGAACACCGCAACTGTTGCATTTCTTTTCGTCTCTTCGATTTCACCATCACCACAATTCAGTGTCAGTTTTGTTATCAGCATATCATCACTTCTATTGAATCGTTTCCATCTTATTCCAGAATGCTATCGTCGAAGGTTTAATTTCCCTTCATTACCACTCCACATATGGTTAACTTTCTTAGCATGACCAAGCATTCGGAGTCGTTTTTGTTTCGTTTCGTTTCCGCTTACATAGCAAATTTAATTCTGATTGAAATCTGGATAAAAAACAATACAAAAGAATGTTCTTGATTCGCACTTTTCAGTTCAGTATTGTTTACATATTTCGTGCAAGATAGAAAGAAATCGAAATGATTTGAGCAATTTATTCTGATAGTGAGTGTTAAGGAAGCGGGACTATTGCTTACAAGTCCAAACCTACTCCTTCCTTATAAGAGAAAGCTTTCTGAAGTCTTCACGTCTTTGACGCATTTTTGAACGATGAAGTCTCTAACAAGCAGGAAAACTTCGAGTTCTTGACTTTACGCACATGAGAACATTCAGACTAGTAATGATAACGATGAACTTGAGATAAATTCTATGCTTGTGAAATACGAACAGTCCAATTGAAATTTTCATGATGTACTAAAGATGAACTGAACATTTTATGAGGAATTCGTTTTAATATTTCGTAAAACTACGGTATTGTCATACCGGAAAAGACTTCGATTGAAGCTGAAAGAATGTATTACTCCATTCTAGCCTAATCTCACCTCTCAACATACGATCAAACGCTGACAGTCTAATATCTCTGGCGTTCCACTTGATTTATATAATACGGTCTCGTTTACCTCTGTTCCATTTACTCGACTGCGATTAAATTTGGTAACGATTCCTACTCAACATGTAAGCAAAACTCAATTCTAGAATATTGAATAAACAGATATTGGGGTTTTCAGCGACAAACCATCGAATAGCACGTGATCGGGAATAGTTTAACGACAATGAATTATGGTTGTATATGTTTTGCGATAAACGAATGAATTTGAGAGAGAGAAAAAGCACTTTGGAAGGACGTAAAAACGGTGCTGATGTGCATCGGATGGGTTTTGGATTTCGCTGGCGGAATGCCGAGCAATTTGCAATCAAATACACACAATTTCTGTGTTGTTTGTGCACACTGAAGTGCACATCTGATGAAATAGCGATCACGCGACTCAATGCAAATGGTTGATTGAAGGGCATCATCGTTCGATGCACATTCATCGGTCATAAGACGAAGAATATTTGCAGCGAAACGCTGTTTTCGATACAATTTTTGCGTTTATTTGATTGAAAATTATGATTTCAACTCGACAAATCGGTTTCGTATGAT